GAACCAAGCTGGTGGTGGCGGTGAGAACCCAGGGGAGGGCCTAGAACGCGGGGAGGATGGGGCAGGACCCATGGGAAATCCCAGGGTCTCAGTGTCTGAGCTTTCCCTCTCTGCTGAGTCTCCTCTCTGCCCACGGCCAGCCCGTGTGGTCTGAATTCCCACCTACCCAGTGTACACAGGTCAGGTGATGCAGGGGATTTGGCGGGGGGAGGGGGGATAGGAGGAGACTGCTGGTCCTCAGGTGTGGAGCCAGGTAGCTCAGGAAAAGCTGTGGGCAGACGGGCACCAGTCCAGGGACCGCCCCTCTCAGCTGAGAGCCCTGGACCATGGCCCGTGGGGGCCGTGCAAAGTGGCACTTTCCGCACAGCCCTCAGCTGGGCCCAAGGCACTAGGGGGAGGGCAGCAGTGTCGCCTGCCGCCTTCAGTCCCCTACCACCCTCCTCTCCTGGAATAATACAGCCAAATTGGTTTTAAGTAGTTTATTCCGATCCAACTTCAAGTAGAAAAAGAAACAAAACGAACACAAAAGTGGAGGCACTAGATGGCGCTAGTGGCCAGCCCGCTGCTCTGCTCAGGGCGTCCAGGGGCCGAGGTCAGCTTTCTCAGGCCCAGTGGATGGGGAGAGTGTGGAGGCCACAGGGTGTGCAGCAGAGTGATGTCGGGGGTGGGGGTAGTAGAACCCCCTAAGCACTGTGGGGCTTGTCACAGGCTGGGGGCCAGGACCAAAGCCAGGAGGCCGAGGGCCAGTGCCAACCCGAGCGTGGCTGCCCTGGAGAGTGCTGGGGCTCCGCTGAGGCTGGTATTGCACAGGTCACCCTGGCAGCACATGGTGGTGGCTGATCCACTGCTGACCTGGCCCTGTTGGGCATGGTTGGGCACGCAGTAGTCAGCACACTCCTTCCTCACCAGGTTCCCCGACAGCGATTCCACTGGGGGGCAGGGACAAAGGTGTGGTCAGGGGCCAGGCCGAGCAAGGCCTAGGCTGTCCAGCCTGCCTCCTCCGCAGCCCGTGCCCAGATCCTGCCAGTGGTCCCCTTGGCTGCTATGGCCCCAAGACCCCCACCCCAGACCGCCCGCCTCCCAGCCCTTCAGGCTGCCCGGTTCAGTCCTCACCGGTCATCATGGTCCTGCAGTAGCGAGAGCTGGCTGGGCACGTCTGTGGTTGCTTGCAGTTGGAGGTGCTGACACACACATGGCACTGGAGCGCCCGGGCTGCAGGAGGATGAGGGTCTCAGGGACCAGAGAGGCTGGGCTCACTGCCCGAAAAGCCCCCTCCTCACGCCTGTCTGGGGCCACTGCTTTACAAACAGCCTCTGGGAGACCATGTCTGCGCTGGCTCAGGGGCCCCGATGGAGGACGCACAGTGCCTCCCAAACTGCTCTCAGTGGCACAGGGTCACAGCGTTGAGCCAGGCTACAGCTTAGCTGGCGTGGGAGGAAGGGGTGCCGGGGCGGGTGGAGGGGGTGCCGGGGCTGGAGGAGGGGGTGC